GGGCCGCCTCCCGGAAACTGCCCACTTGGCTCCGGCCAGCCTGTCGGCAGAGCTGGTCTTGCCCCTGAACACACTCCCTGCTGTCGGCTGCCACGGAGGGCCAGGGTTCTGTTTGAGAAAACATTTACCCAACGCAGAGGGGGCTGCTGGCACCCACAGCATCTGCTGGGTTGTTGCCTGGAGGCCTGGGCCCTGGGGTGGGTCCAGCCTTATCAGCGGCCTTTGTACTTCCCCCAAGACCAGCCAGGAGACAGAGCTGCCCCCAGAGCTGCGGGGCTAAGAGGGCCCCAGCCTCCCGCAGCGACTGGGCGCTATGAAGCAGCCATGCCCTCTGGCCGACGGTCTCATTCCTGGGATGTTGACCTCCGGGGGAGGACAGTGACCGGGCACCCTTATCTCCAGGGGGGAGACCTGGAAGCACTCCTTTCCAAACAAAAATGAACCAGGAATTCAGACGTCCGAAGCACTCGGTGGAGGCTGACGCAAAAATCCCCCAAACCTCAAACAAGAGCTGACCTTTGAGTCCAGTGGACTCCTGGCGACCCCCCTGTGTGTCAGCGTGGAACTGCAGCCCCCAGGGTCTTCAAGGGCTGATTTTTCAGAAGGATTGCCAGGCCTTTCCTGGGAGGCACTTCTGTGTGAACCTGTACCTCCGCCCTTGCAGTTAGCAGCCAAGTGCAGGAATTGTTTGCACCAGCCGCCTGGGTGGGGTGGGGGCTGTGTCTGAGCAGTGTTATACAGCCACCAGAGAGTCTCTTGAAATCCATGTCTTCCACACAGACCTAGAAATTGCTAAGAATATCCCAGCTAGAAGCCACGGGAAAACTTGCTGGCATTCTGTGCGGAGCGCATCTCCGCCTAAGGATAAAGGCGAGCAAGAAATACTGGAAACAGCAGTGACTGGGCATCCTGGGGGCACACCACCTGCCCGTGCTCCTAGACCCAGTGGGTGAATGCTATTACACAAACGTGCATTGACTCGACCGTGTTGAAAAGCAATGTGCTACTCTAAGGACGGAGGGGCCCCCGACCTCTGCCGCGGTGCTTCCCATTGCACCCTATCCGTGTGAGAGTTGGACACTGAATAAGGGAGGCCCAAGAAGAATGGGTGCCTTTGCGCCCTGGTGTTGGCAGAGAAGGCTGAAGGTAACGTGGGCTGCCCAAAGGACAATCAGATCTGCCCCGGGAAAGTTATTTTGAGGGAGGGCTGGCAAGACCTCGCCTCATATACTTTGCACGTGTCTTCAGGGGAGACCAGTCCCTGGAGAAGGTCGTCCATCCTGCTTGGGGAAGCAGAGGGGCAGCTACAAGAGGAAGGCGCTCCATGAGATGGACGGACACCGTGGCTGCACCCACGGGCGCCAGCACAGAGTGGGAGGGCGGCGCAGGCTGGGCGGTGGCTTATCCTGTTGTTCACAGGGCTGCTCTGATTGGGAGCCACCCAGTGGGACTTAACAACACCGAAGACGGACAGTCCTAGAACCCCATAGGGCCGCTCCACTCGGCCCTCCATGGCCACAGAAGCCAGGATCAACCCAGAGCAACAGGTGTGGTCTCGGGTGGACCAGTTCAGGTCTGGTGGCCTGGCTATGCGCTGCTGGGCTGCGGGCTGCCAGGGCAGCGATCAACTCAATGGTGGTGGGTTTGGTCTGGTTATGAACCAGTTCTAAGGAGTTCTGGTGGTGTTGCTGGGTAACCATTAGACTGCTTACGGCAAGGTCAGAGGTTCAAATCTACCAACCGCTCCTCAGTAGAAAGATGAGGCTTGGCAGCTCCCAACTCCGTGACTTTGTGTGTGTGTGTGTGTAAATGATACTTTGCCCAATAAGGTCACTATGAGCTGCAATAGACTACAGCACTGGGTTATTTACATGAATTTGACATAGCCGCTGAAGTTTAAATGTGGTTCAAACATTCACAAACAGACAAGCCGCACTGACATGGAGTCAATCCCAACTCCCAGTGGGCCTATGGAGCAGGGCAGAACGGCCCCTGTGGGTTTCCGAGGCAGCCACTGTTTATGGGATCAGTGCACTTCCTCCTGCACTTGGTTTTGAACTGCTGACCTTGAGGTTAGCAGCTAAGTGTGTAACCACTAGGCCACCAGAGCTCCTGAAGCGGGCGAATACCTCCGTGCCTGAACAGGAGCACACCCACTTAGGCTGTGCAGGAGGGACAGCCAGGGAGTGTGCTCCCTGGGAAAGGAGCAGAGGGAGCGCTGAGCAAAAACACCGCTGGTGCTGAACCACGAACCACAGGGTCAGCCACTGGGCGGGAGAAAAGAGGAAGCTTTCTGACCGTCTCGGAACCACAGGGGCCGTTCGACCCTGTCCTACAGGGCTGCTGTGAGTCGGCTGTGGGTGTGGGTTTGGTCTGGCTGGCAGGCGGGCCGTGATCACCCCCACCACCCACCCCATTGGAACGGTGGCATCTACGGCTGCACCAGGGAAGCCTTGCCCGCAGGAGAGCACCCAGCAGTACAAGATCCAGAGCTCAAGGTGGGACGCTCCGCACTCGACATCAGCCAGCACTCTGACACTTTACAAAGTGGTTTTACAGGTATTGTTCCACGAAAACAAACACACCTTGCTGCCCCCGCCCGGGGAGAGGAAGGGCGGCAGGGTTATCGCATGACACAGAAGCCACTGGTTCCTGGCTTCTCTGAAAGTGCCAACGTCTAATTAAGGTTTTACAGCACCAATTAGCCCTCGGCTGGCACGGTGCACCCAGTTCACACTGTGGTTCTGAAGCCTGGGAAAAGGCAGGTGATGCCCAGCCCTGCAGCCTGCGGCCGTGCAGTGTCTCCTGGCCAGCGGTCCAGGCTCTGCTGATGGGGCACACGCACACCTCCTGGTGGTAATATGTGACAACAGGGTCTTAGTCACACGGTCATGAAGTGTCCCACGTCCACAAGCACAGAGCCGACCTGGTCAGTGTGGCCTGACAGAGGATGCCCATCCTGACAGTGTGAGGGGTGAGGAAGATGGTGTGGACAGGGGGAGGGGTGCTGGCAGGGCTGCCAGATGCCAGGCCCATAAAAGCAGAGGTGGCTGTGGTTAGTGCCAAGAAGTCAATACGGGAACAAGACACGGGCCTTTCTTGTTCCTCTACCTCGGGCTCAAGGCTCTGCCAGCAGCTGCTCAGCCCACCATCCTCTCCCGATACACAGGTGTGGCCGTGCCTGAGCCCCCCTGGCTGAGAACTGAACCCGGCGCCTGCCCCACCTTGCGGACCTCGAGGGTCTGATGTATGTGACGGGGCTTTAAATAGACGGTGGGGCGGAGGGGGGGGGGGAATGAATGGAACTTTTCAAGCTTTCTGATGCTCCCTCAGACGTACACATACATGTACACACGTGCGCATCTCTGCCATCTAGTTGATTTTGACTCACAGCGACCCTACAGAACAGGGAAGAGCTGCCCTGTGGGTTTCTATGACTTTAACTCTTCACGGGAGTAGGAAGCCCAGTCTTTCTCCTTAGGAGCGGCTGGCAAGTGCAAACCGCTGACCCTTGTGGTTCACGGTTCAATGCATAACCCAGGATGCCACCAGGCTCTCTGTGTGAGTGTGCGTGTGCGTGGTGTCTGGGTGTTCCCTCTGCCCTTTCATTAAAAGTCCACTCAAGGGCGGCATGACTGTCCCCATGGTGTTGGTACAGGGTACTGCGAGGACGGCGGCCTGCCGGAAGAACATACACATCTGTCCTGAGAAAGGTACGGTTACGGTGGGAAGGACGGCGAGACCTCCTCTCATACACTCTGCACATGTTGCCAGGAGAGACCAGGAGCTGGAGAAGGACACCGAGTTTGGTAAAGTGGAGGGGCGGCGAAAAAGAGCAAGGCCCTTGTGTGACGGATGGACACGGCAGCTTCAAGCGCGGGCTCCAGAGTGCTTGGCTCTGTGCTCCATCGGGTCTCTGGGAGCCGGCTCTGACTCGGTGGCACCCCGTGCCCACAGAGGGGACCGGTCGGCCCAAAGGTCCATGCTCAGTGTGGGGCCTGGGTCCTCACTGGGGTCTCTGCCTCCAGTGTCTCACGCCCTCTAGGCTGCTGTCCAGGGGGGTTGCACGTCCCCAGAGCCCAGACCCCAGACCCTCGTGCTTGGTGCACAACCTCAAGGTGACAGGGTCTTTGTTATGGTGGACAGGCTCCCTCCTCTGGGGAAGTCAGTCTCTGTGTGTGTTCTACAAGCACCTCCCCTACCGCCATATCACTAAGTTGGGAATTCCAGCACCCCGGCCTTTGGTCTGGGTGTCATTTCATGGACTGCGCCCACCTGCTGCCCGATCCCCTCTGAGAAGCGACAGCCAACAGCAGCTGCGAGTAGCAGGCCCCGTCTCGGGCGTCAAACCCGGGAGTAAGCCGAGCACTGTCTTGTCAGGTGTCATCGAATCAGTCCCGACCCACAGCGACCTAGTGCTCAGCAGAATGAAACACCGCCCGGTACTGTGCCACGGCCACAAATGCCTCTATGCCTGAGCCCACCGCCGTAGCCACGGCATTAGTCCATCTCGCGGACGGCCTTCCTCTTTCTCGCTGCCCTCCACTTGACCAGGGACTGGTTTCTCCTGACAACACAGCGAAACGTACGTGAGACGAAGTCTCGCAGCCCCTGCCTACAAGGCACACTCCGGTCGTGCTTCTTCCAAGACCGATCGGCTTGTCTTCTCGGCAGACCGTGGTGCACTCTGTTTCCGTCCAGCTCCACAATTTAAAAGTGCACCGGTTAAGCGGTGCGCAACTTCTGTGTATCCTGCAGCGGGTCCACGCGGCACCGACTGAGGGAGCCACATCCCGGCAGGTTTCAGAGAAAGGTAAATTCTCTAAGAGATGAAACACAAAGACAAAGAAGAAAAAACCCTCAACAGAGAGAGTGCCCTGACACCTGGTGAGTGAGGTGCCCTCCTGTCACCTCTCTGAAGCCGCTTGAGCAGAGAGACACGTAACACGGCTGCAGGCACACGGGAACGCACGCACACCCCACGCTCACTGCGTTGTTACCTGGGGCCCGGCCGGTCCTGTTTGTTGTGTGGGCCATGGCAGCCTGTGTCCAAACACGGAGCCCAGCCTGAGCAGAGTCCCACACACCGCAGGCATCAAGTCTCCATGCAGATCCAGCCTAGAACAACAGAGAGTCCCATCAACACGGTTGTTTCAAGAGAAGCACAGCACTAGGTCCCCAAGCCCTGCGCTCAGACGGGGGGACGGGAGTGTGGTGACCACGCTGGACCTGGCCACTCAGTGTTGGGAGAGAAGACACCACTGGTTGCACCAGTGGATGGACGCTGAGACAAGGGCTCGAGATAGCAGCCTCTGCTGGAGGACGGAGAGGCTCCCCCAGGACACATGACCACACATGGTCGTGTGCGTGCGTGCGTGCATGCGTGCGTGCGTAACACTCTGGAGCCCTGGGGGAGTGGCGGCCATGCGCTGGGCTGTTAACCTTAAGGGCAGCCGCTACTCGGGAGAAAGACAGGGCTTCCTCTCTATTCCAGGAGAGAGTCACTATCTCCGAAGCCCAGCGGGGCAGTTCTGCCCTGTGCCCCCGGTCTCTGGGAGTCGGGGAGAGACTGGTTTGAGGGGAGCTCTCCACAAATGGCTTTGCGTTTTCTTAATCTCGAGGGGACGACGAGTTGTGCGTGGGGAAATGGAGTGAAGAGATAATGGCAGTTTTTCCAGGAACCTTTAAAAAAAGTTTTATTGGGATATACTTCACGCATCATACAAGTTAGTCACGGGATCCCATGAGCAAGAGCTACGTGATGGTCACCACCATCCATTTCAGAGCACTCTCTTCTGACAGTGCTTGTTGCCTCCCCGTGCCCCCTTCCTCCCGCCATGCCGGAGCCAATGATCAATCCATTATGGTCTCTACCAAGCTATCAGTTCGGGATTTCCTAGAAAAATCACACAACACACAAACCCACACCCAACCGCGACTGCACAGAACATGGAAAATGGAAAGCCTGCTTCCAAAAGGTAGCAGTTGATATTAACACTGGAACAGCCGTGGCATGGGGTCAGAGGTTAAATGACATTGCAGGAACTCTCTGAAGGACACACAGCCCCAGATGTTCCTTCCCAAGTACCGTCCAGTTGTTTCCTCCCTGCAACTTCAAAGCCAGCATGACACCCCCTGTGGGTCCCCCGCTCCTGTGTGGCAGTCCCCTGCCAGGGGAAACAGCAGCCCCGATCCAGGCGCATGTTGAGAAGCCTGGTGGGCAGCAGCCTCTCTGTCCAGAGTCCCAGAGTCAGCAGTGGGCTGTGGGGCTGGTTGGAAACACAGGGAATCCAGAACAGATAAGCTCCTCAGGACCAATAAAGAGAGTAGCGATACCAGGAGGGGAAGGGGAAGGTGGAGGGAGAAAGGGGGAACTGATCACAATGACCTACATATAAGCCCCTTCCAGGGGGGATGGACAACAAAAAAGTGGGTGAAGGGAGGCATTGGTCAGTGTAAGACATGAAAAAATAGTAATGATTTATAAATTATCAAGAGTTTGTGAGGGAGGGAGGATGGGGAAAAACATGAGGAGCTGATACAAGGGCTCAAGTAGAAAGAAAATGTTTTGAGAATGATGACGGCAGCAAATGTCCAAATGTGCTTGGCACAATGGATGGATGGTTGGATTGTGGTAAGAGCTGTACGAGCCCCCAATAAAGTGATAAACAAGCAAAGAGAGCACCTGACCAAGCCAGCTACTGCGGACACAGGTGGGCCAGGCCCGGCCTGGGAGGGCGGCGTCCAGAAGGAGAAGTGCGTGGGGGCGGTGGGAGGGCCCAGGAAGAGACCCAGGTGGGCAGCTCATCCCGGTAATTACATATTGACAAGCCAACAACAACAGGGACCCGAGCTGGGTGCTGTGAACTGGCCCGGGCTCTGCAGCCTGGCTGCACAATAGCTTGTAAATCCGCCTGTTTCCAATCTGGAGGGCAGAGAGGGGCAAGACCAGACAGGCTGCATGCGTTCAGGTCGAGGGGGGCCGTCGCCAAGGGACCTGGCCGGAGATTTGCCCAGACTCTCCCTGGGCGAGCTCTGTGGCCGCCTGGTCCAAGGGAACGCCTCTCACCCACAAACAGCTTTATCATAGCGCACAATGAGAGAGAGAGAGGGAGAGAAGCAGCTCTGATGGGTCAGCATAGGATTGGTGCCAGTGGGTTTAAAGGTTTTACACAGCTAGCAAGAAGCGGATCCTACATCAAGTGTAGTGAAAAATAAACAGAATCAGTCACCGAAGGCCATCTTATGGAGGTGGCTTAGAAAAGCTGACCACACTTACAGCCCTTCTTAGCAGAGAATGAAGACCCTCCTGATGACCCAGAGGCTGGAGGGGGAGGGGTGCCCTAGACTGGCCAGTGGCAGGAAAGCTTTCTTTTGAAGTCTAATGTCTTTGCAAACAAGGATCTAGCCCAGGAGTTGGCAATCTCTGAGATGGAAGGGCCAACCCTGGCCCTCACAACAATTAAAAAAAAATTATTCGAGAGTCAAAAAGATATTTTTTTACAAACAAATGAAATCACCATGATTTGAATAACATCCTTTGCCTTCAGAGCCACGCGCAGGTTTCTAAAGAGCCGCAGCTGGCTGAGAGCTGCCGTTTGCCAACCCAGGGCCAGGCCTCTGAGACTTCAAGGCAAATTCCTCTCTGTTTTTTGTTTCCAAATGACTGGACCACTCACTCACTCTGCCACCGAATCCATGCCGGCTCACAGCGACCCAGCAAGGATGGGGTAGAACCACCCTTATGGGTTTCTGAGATTGTCACTCGTTATGGGAGTGGAAAGTCCCGTCTTTCTCCCGAAGAGACCCTAGCTAGACCCTAGACATTAAATCTTTTGGTAGCCGGGCACCATCAGCTTTCTTCACCACATTTATTATGCACCCGCTTTGTCTTGTCAGGGAGGTGAGTGTCATACCTTGACAGAATATTAGAACAAATCTTTCTTGTACCGAGGAAAGATTTAGTAGAGGCCAAAAGTCCATCTGCTTATCACTCTCTCTCTCACACACACACACACACACACACACACACACCTATCTTTATATACCTACATATATACGTATCTATATTTACACCTATTTATATGATTGCTACTTTCTCTTCCTTTTCTTTCCTCCTGTCGCCCCACTATTATGTTTACCTATCGTTCACCTCTCAGATTCCTCTCGGACACATTTCAATGGATCAAACATGATCCGGAATGCTATACCCTTCTCCCCATCAATTTTATGTCCCTTGCGATTCCCCTGTCCCTGTCGTCATTGGCTCCTCGCTCCCCTCCCCGTGCTGCCTCCTCTCTCACGCCGGACCCCCAAACCCTTCCGTCTGTGCTGTCTCCCTGGGGCTACTTGCCTGCTTTCACATCGACAGGCACCGAACGAGGAAAGAAAAGAGAGGCCACAGGTCGTTCCCAGTCTAGCTGCTGTCCCGACGCCGAGGGGATGCGGACCCTCTGGGACACAGCCAGCAGGCCCTGTTACATCCATCGGTCCATCCCCTTTTCCTTCAGGGATCCACAACCCAGGACCTGCTCCCTGACAGTCCTCAGCACTCATGCCCAAGGGGCGCGCCTTCTACAAGACCCCACTGCTCTCCTTGCAGTCAAGGATGGGGTGGTCTAGTGCCCCCCACCCCGTGACACCTTTAGACTTTCCATGTGGCCCCCTTGTGAATCTCCTCCAACCAGTTCAGATGAGGTGCCAAGCGCTGCCCCCCGAGTCTGAAGTCCACGATCGAGCTTCCCCGGGGACCCTGGAGGCTTTGTTCTTGCTGGTCTGTTCTCTCCGCTCTTGGTTTGCCCGCCTTTCACACGGTGGCGGCGAGCGGGCGGCCACATCGGCTGCTGATCACACAACCAGCACTCTGCTCCCAGAGATTAGACCACCTCAGGAGCCGTAGCTAGGGTCTCTCCGAGGGGGGATCGACTCCATGACCGCGGGTTTGGATGGGATTGTGGTCAGAGACCAAAGATGAAAGTCCTCAGCCTTAATTAAACATGCGACAAAACTGCGGCCCAGAACCCCAGGGACACTCCCCCTTTCCCCTGTTACCCCAGCACCGGGTCCCAGACAGGAAAGATTACCCGAGAGGAACAAAAATAAGACGCTCAAAATACCGCCGGAGCCACAGTTTGACACTTGCCGGATGAAAGGGAAAAACAAAAGTTGGCGGGGCGCTTTCCAGGGTCAGACATCGAGCGCAATTAAAGCTCTGGGAGAAACGCAAGTGCGTTTACACAGGGATTCGGGGACCATTTCCAGGGTCAGACATCGAGCGCAGTTAAAGCTCTGGGAGAAACACAAGTGCGTTTACACAGGGATTCGGGGACCATTTCCAGGGTCTGACACAGCGCACAGTCAAAGCTCTGGGAGAAAAGCAAGAATGTTTACACGGGGGTTCGGGCGGCCATGGAAGGTCTCATCCAGCTTGCATTTCCCTCCCACTCAGAGCCGGGGCTCCGTCCCCTCAGCTGGGAGTGTTCAGAGCTGCCCGTCTGGGGATCCTGGCATCGGGCGAGGGCATTTACGACACGAGCCAAAACAAGCCCTGCTTCAAGGCGGACCGTCCTGCCCAGGAGCACCTTGCCCTCGTTCTGCTCCCAACTCTGCCCAAATGTCCAGAAAAGCCCTGCGGCTCGTCAGGGCCTGCTCTGCCACCAACCACCAGGCCACACAGCACTCGGTTCAGCCGTGGAGGGGTCCGGGTGGTGGTGGTGAAGGTCCGTTGCCCTGCCTCCCACTAAGGAGCAGCGGCAAATGTCTGGTCAGGGGGAACCCCACACAGGAACCGACAATCAGGCGGAAGACGATGATACCTGGCTTCCGACAGAGACCGCACACCTGGAACAGCTTTCCCGTCCAGGCAAACTGCCTAACCGTCTCTGACACAGGGCACCTGGGCTCTCACAGCCCAGCCTCTCACCTGCAGGCCTCCCGTCCCACCAGGGGCTCTGGCCGCCAGGTGCTGAGCACCACTGCTTGGGAATGGGAATCGGCTCCAGGCAGCGTCCATCACAACTGGGACTGCGGTGTTCAGCGCTCCCTTTTCAGGTGGGTGAGGACGGCAGGGATGGAGTCACCCCAGACTCACCACCATCGGGTCCACGCCTACACGCAGC